AATTATCATCTGAAGATGGGTCTGTCGTTCAGCCACACATACCTTTGGAACAATGTGGACAGATCCACGGTTGACATTTCAATTGGTATTTAGGGTTGAACTATTAGTTTTTCGGGATTGGGCACGATGTGAATCACCAAATGCGATGGTTTTCATGGTCTGTTTGATCTGTACCCTGTGTTAACAAGTACACGTACATGTAGTTAACAACTTTGAAATCCCAACCTGTTTCCTGATCGTCACTTTCAAACTGATTACACAATTTCTTTTATTGAATGCACAAAGGTATAATTTTCATCCCCGGGGTGATAATTTAGTGACGTTACTACCGGGCTACCACCGCCCGTTGCATGGTCATCAGTGGAGGTATGCATGCATTCATAGATTTCATAAACTCGAGAGAAACAAATGCAAAGAATTGCATTATGTAATCCCTGAGCACTGATGAGCAGCCTTTGGCCTCATATCGATCGACAAGTGTCTCCAATGCGAGTGTGCTACGTATAAACGGAAATCAATTCACAAACTCTCAACACCCATAAAATGCTCAACTCTTTCAGCCTTCAACAAAATATCTATTCCGTAGACGCAACAGATGAGTTCAGTTGTACACACACCTATCATGGAAATCAATCTGAATCAAGAGGCTCACTCTGCTTCGTTCCTCACATCATGTCCAGGAGTATTTGAAACACTCTCTCTGCTATTGAAAGTGACAAGTCTCTAAGTGGAAGAGAGTTGACGTTCTGTTACGATCTTCCAAGAAGGTTCCAAAAGGTATTTTAATCATTTCATCATATCCTATGGTATACGTCTGTCGCTTCATCCGAGCAAACAACAGTCTGCTGGGCTTTCTAATGATGCTTGATTTATAAACGTTTCACCAATCAGTAAAAGCCAATGCACACTTCATCACTGACGTAAATCAGAGAAGTTTCGAAACCACGAATTGGGTTTTGTTTTTTTGTAAGCCACGTAAAAATACTCCCGCTTATTCTTTGTGGTGTCTTTGATAAATCGTTATTTTCGAGACATATGTAGCGTTTGACGTATTGATATCAGTTTCAACTGAAAGAGACATTTAGGCTAGAAGCTGTTGCCAATTTACAGCTGAATTCGTTTTCAAGAATGTGAATGAGGTCTCTCTGTTTTCTACCGGGAAGGTTATTTGTGCTGGTTATTGCAGTACCTTGTGCGTGAATTCAAGAATTCACTTCATCCGTCATCACATTTAGGCTCGCCTGCTCACGTTTAACCTGATAGAATTGTGCTTCCCACACGTGTGTAAGCGATTCTCATCGTTTGTTGTGGAGAAGTGCACAACAAATCAATCATCTCTAAAGGCTAGCTGATGATTATTTTTGGCACCAGAACAAGTTATCAAAGTGCTTCAAGGTATTTGTTGTGAAGCATGGGTTGTGTTCTGTACTCCTAAGTACTATCTGTTGCAAAACAGAGTGCGGGAAAGAAAACACATACGTAAATGTAGCTCGCTAAACAAATACACTTAGAGTGCTGTTTCCCCGGTGTCTCGGGGTCAACCAGATGATTGATGGTTAACCTCAAACTGGAATTTCAAATTCGTTTACGTTCGGCTCTTTTGGTGGTCTGCCTTAGACGGGATCTACAGGTGTGCGTTGCTTTCCACGTGATTTGTGATGGGTAAAGGAAGCGCTCTTCCCCCCTTCCGAGCTTTAATTTTAGTGTACCGAGTATTGATGCAATTCGTGTGTTACATAGTCAGTTTGGGATCAACACGAGAGGAATTTGGGGAAGAAACATCTGTGAAAAATCTGTTCATCTATAAGAGTGGCTATCTGGACACATTTTTCCTGTTTAATCTAAGGGGATGCACATTTATCCGCAAAGGAATAAAGATGAATTTAATTGTTCAGTTTCATCAACAAACTAAAGTACAGTTTATGACACAACGAGCTGAGCAGCCGGACGTCATGTGATTCAATGATTGGACTGTTGTCTCATTAAAATTGGGGTTCACTCTATGCAGTCACATCTTGAGGAAATGGTAATCTGATGGATAAAATCGTGAAGCAAATTTAGAGCACCATACGCACTAGTATGTTTATCGCAAATTAAGGGCTTCATCGAAGTTTTGTTCGAATTGTGATACTAACTGTTTGTCCATCACAACTACAGTGATGATGATTTGGATAATAAGGACGTCAATCATCATTTATTGCGCCCATCTGGTTCTCGTCATCTTCTGAAAGCTGGCATATGTCTGCTCGTCACCATTCTATTGCCGGTCTCGTTATGTGCCGGCAACCTGTCACTAACATTATGACGGAACAGGTAATTGTGCTATCAACTTTACAATGTATTGTAAACGAATTCGGCTCGCAGTACGGGTATCTGATGGAATCAAAATTCACTTAAATCTATGAACCCACTCTGTGTGACTACCACATTGGGCTAGATTAACTCACAGTATAGTCTTGGGATATTGTTTATTTTGTGAATGCAGGATGGCATAAATTTTTTCACAAACATATTTAACTTAAAACACCGAAGATATCGAATAGAACCCAATGTTGCGAATAAGACTTATTGTCAATGATTTGTTATCTTTGTCTATTACATATTAATTTATATTGCTAGATTAGAATACGGGAGGGCGGAGATATTAATTACAAAGAATGATAATGATAAATTAATAACCTTGAAGGAATACGCATAATGTCCGCTATTTCCGGCGTTGCATTTGGTCTGGATTTGCCGGAGGTTGGGATGGCAGGGAGGGGGCGGGGTAAAATGGGGTAGGTGGGGGGGGGCAGGAAAAACGATGTCTTCACAAATTATTTTTTACGCACACAAGTGTGTATTGTGAATGTGAATTCCCACTGCTTCCACTGTGGTCAGAATGGGATGTTTAATCTGTCGAGAGTTTTGTTCTCGAACCTGGTATAGGGTCTGAAACGCTCTGGTCAGGTCAACTGAATAACCTAACTGAGCAAGGTGTGGACAGATTGCGCTCGCGTAATTGACTTTGCCCCCGGCAGTGTGCAATCGAGCAGGATGATGCTCACAAGTTCTTCAAGTCTTCAATGTCTGCTCGTGAGACCGATATACGTTGTTTCATAGGAACAAGTAAATAGGGTAAGCGCAGAGTACTATCACAGAAATAGGAACTGTCTGTTGGAGTTGCAGTCAGGGGGCAAATGTGACATTCAAATTAACTGCATGAAAAATCTGGCTAATAACTGTTGTCAACGTTCGAGTAACTATATCCGTCACAGTGTCACCTATAAATGACAGGTTTATTTTAACTAGTTTCTTTTCTACTCCAACAACATTTCCCTCGTTTGTCTGGCGTTTTAATAAGCTGCCCAGAAATCGATCCGGGCATCCATTTTGTTGGAAGACCTGGCGCGAGAATTCGAATTCGTTCCGAACTCTCACCACTGTATCAGCATTGGCGATATAACGCGAGTTGAAAATTTGATTGCCAAGGTAAATTAAAGGTTCGGGTTTTCTTACAGGTAGTGATATTCTCAATAAGATGGAGAGATTGGACAGCTATTTCGTCCTGTGCTTGGGACTCGTCAGCAGTGCATACTTATTGTGTTCCTGTCATAACTCGAACCGCGATCAGTCGGGTCGGGACTACAAACCCTTTCATCTGATCTACACAGTCGATGGTTATCACCTTGTGCGAATGGCTCATGGGGCCTCTGAACAATTGAATGGGCTAATCCAAGCTTGATACTCTAAATTGGTTGAGCCTGAGATGTTCTTTACAACTTCGAGACAAAACTGTCCTAAAAGTCACCTAAAACCGTTTTTATTCAAAATCATTTTTCCCACACTTGCGTCGTATTTGGTTTCCGGGGATATTCAAAAGTTATCGCCAAATAACAGTATGTGTGGTGTGAAAGCCGGGCCCCCAAACTGTCATTTCCTCTCCTTTTCAAATTGGTAATCGATCAATGGCTGTTTTTATTTTACTTAATAAAACCAGGTTGGAAAGCAAACGCTTGCTATTTTCTGACTAAATTGTAGACGCACAAGCATCCGTTTTGAGCAAAGCCTAATTTTTAAAGACGGTACACTGTTTAAGATCAATTTCAGGAAATTCTTGCAGCCTAACCATCGAGATGGATTTGAGGTAGAATCCCCAGGCCTATTCTGAGAAGTTGAGTACTTTTCTTTTAGGACGGATTGGATATGTAATGCAGTGCTTCTCTTTATTATTATATAACCAGATATATCGAATATATGATTGGAAAACCAAGATTATTTGGGAGGTTGAAGCAATCAATCAAAGTTCAATCGTGCGATAATATATTGGCCTTAAACCTGCTGACCAACTCCAGGAATGAAATATTTAATCTCTCATATTCAGTGGGGATACGAGGATTGGAAGGGGCATCAAATGGCGGACGATAACAATCAGTCTTAAAATATAGAAAACCAAAATATCTTTACCTACCGATTACTGTAAGACACGCCTCGGGATAACAGGAATTATTTGGTTACTCAGCCAGTGAGAGCGTAAGATATTGAATTTCCAGTTTAATCCTATCGTTTAAAACGGCACATCAATTAGCCACAGTCTGATTTCGCGACAAACAATCGATATGCGTAAAATCTCATTATTTTTGCAAATTCAGAAAGCTCTTGAACCGCATTTCAGTTTGGGAAGTAAAACATATGTCACCACGTGTAACCACATCAAAGGACCCAATTTGTTGGTGACTCGTTAATTACGACCACATTTGTTTTTGTCATTTCAGATATGGCATGCCGTTTGTTTCTGGATAATATATAACTGTGCAAAACTTTTCATTGTAATCGTTAAGGGACAAAAACCCGGAACATTTGACAATCGACACACCTAGACGCGGAATGATCATTCTTCTCCCATGGGGTCTAGTTTGAGAGGCGCACATGCATAAATGCATACCTCTTGAACTGTTGTCATCTCCCGGAAGATGATTAATACGACACCCTTTTATTCTTTTCTCTCTCATTCCACAGCCTGTTTCTCGCCGCCGGACATTCCAAACGCATATTTGAGCGCGCACAGAAATTCCGGTCAGACATACGGGCCGGACGGACAGAGTAGTCTGACCAGTGCGCCACGACGTGCCGACTATCGTTCCGGGGAGGTGATTGAATTGCGCTGTCTACCCGGCTATCAGGACACGAAACGGGATCACGTGGAAGCCTCGTGCATTGGATCCGAATGGCACTATGCAAATTTGCAGTGTGAAAGTGCGTATGTCTGTGTGTATTTGTGTGTGACGCCATATTTATTCATATCTCTCGAATTTCGGTTCAGTGTTATTCATCAGATGTGGATTTCTGTGACTAAGCCGCATTCATTATCGTACGCCACATATACAATCGTGACTTGAGGTATTATTATTATTATCACATTTCATACTTGTCTCACGCCAGACTGTGTGAAGCAAATCATGGTTCAATAACCTTTGTAAAATAGAAGAACGTTCCATGATTGGCCTGTGGGCTGAATACTGCCAGCTTGCCCAGGCCAAGGCAGGTGGATTGTTTTGAGGAATCCACAACCGGAGTCTTTGGTTAGCCAATCCATTGGGAGCCCGTGTCCAGTTCATCAAATCATACGCCTTTCGGGCGGGGTCAAACATCCAAGGTGCCCAACACACCTCGTTGCTCAGTTGAACCGGTGACCATAGCCACAATCAAAAAGCTATGTGTGCTGCATACGCCTCCTCCTGGTTGGTTTATAATCAGGGTTTTCGGCCAACCTCCCTAGGTAAATTACCAGTGGTCCACAAACCCGGATGTCGGCTCTTTGTCCCCTCACTGTGGTGGGAAAATACCTCGGCCACCAGAAAGCAGTGAGTAGAGCTTCCTCAGCAGAGGCTATTTGAGACGTTTGATTGTATGGGAGCATTTCGCGAGGTGCAAGGGAAAGATGATCAACGGCAAACTTAGACACTCAATGCCGACCATACCAAGGATTTCGGGGGCCGTAACTTGAGGTGCACGTACATCAAAGGATTACTTGGATTTCAGTTAATCGCTTTAATCCTCCACAAATGCCACTGAACACCTGTCCATTCATGTACATAATCGCGTGACGTTTCATGCAGACCGGCTGCCACAACAAATGTGAAACAAGTATGCAGCTGTTTGTCTTTCCCATTGACATATAAAGTTCACCACAATTTTGGGAATCCCAATCATGTTGAAACAGTCAAGGTGCTACAACTGGAAATCTGCAGGAAATACGCTCAACCATAGCATGAAGGGCACAATTACATGACAATACTACACGTAATGAATTTCAGTAATGTTTAATTGCCTGATCTAATGATAACAAAGTCTCAAATGTATTTTAATTTCATTAAAAATGAATCTAGACAAGGAGGCAGCTGAAACATAAACACACATTATTCCTATTTACGTTGAATACTAGTTACTGAAATCAAACATATATTAACTATAGGTCAAAATTAGGTGTCTTTTTATGTCATTAGGTTTGTTCTTTTTTTATTTTTCTAATCTCCTCGATGATCGTATGAAGTACTAATCGCGTTCCGTTATTTTACTGCCGCTACACTTGTCATTAATTGCATTGCTTTTTTTTAAATTTCCTCCTTTTCCTCTTTCTCTCTCTCCCGTGTAGGAATACATTGCAATGCTCTGAAAGAGCCTCAACACGGAAGGATTGTCTATCGGTCGGATAAACGATTTCAGGCTGAAGCAACCACTGTATGCGTGGAGGGATACACAGCAGATTGTGAGACGTGGAACGGCGGAGATAGACGAGATCAAGGTGAGTCAGAACCAGGGATAGTGATTAGTAATATGTGTATAAACAAATATCCATTTCGGTAAGGGATATACAGGTAGTGATCACACTCGTCTAACCCCCTGAGTTCCATCACAGTCTTTACTCCCAACTCTTGAAGGTCAACTTTGATTTTTCTTAGAATATATTTTTTGGTTCTTCCAGGAAAAAATAAATAAAAACCGAGTAGTTTGTAACCACATGATTTGTCGATTCATTCAAGCTAGAAAATGTTCATTAGTCGGCTTATTTAATGTGCACTGAATGAAAAGTGATGAACTATTTACGATTAGGTGGGTTGACTAGAATAAGCACTATTATCCAACAAAAACAATTTATTATATGGTTTTCATAATGCATTTTTCAGTTCTGAGCTGTAACTTTGGAACTGCTACAAATTTCACCGTGACACTCAAAATGGCATCAATTCAGACGGTGATAGAAGAGAACTGAGAACATTGTAGTGGGAGATAAAGTTCGGAGCAAGTATAATTTTCCCCCAAGCCATCAATATAAAACTATAATATTGGAAACGGGAGTGTGTTTCCGAAATGGGAGTGATATTACACGAGTTCGATTAACCCCCGACGATATCGACAGTCAAACAATGACTAGTAGAAAACCTCCGGACCATTGAGTTGCATTGAGTACATCAGGGGCTTGTAACCTACGTGTATTTTATTTGAACGATTTATCAGGATAAAAAACACGTCTTACCTTTTGGGGAAGCTTGATTTCTGGGATTTCAGCCAACGATGTAACGACATTGGAAAGTGGTCGGAAAGGCAAACCTGAAGCAAAAGCGATCACACGGAAAGTTGACGCAACCTAAGAGGAGAAACAGCATCAATCTTAATTATGCTGCACGGTGGGTAGTGATTGCATTATACAGTCAAACCTCGGATGTAATACCGGTTTTTGAGTTAAGTTATGGGGTTGTCAAACACAAGCTACTGGTCGCTACAGGTTTTTAACAGACATACTCACAAGTTGAAATAAATTCCCCAATGGGATCCACTGAAATTATGATTTAGTGCTAACAAGGTCCAAATAGTTCCGGGCCACATGGACAGGGAACGTTTGGTTCGGTCAAACAGGACAAGATGAGGTATCCCCGGATGTGTGGTTCATGCAATTGGGTTGAAACAGAAGACAGTTTTATCATGCATATGTCTTCTAAACAAACGTGGATAATCATGCAACGTATTTCGGAGCAGAAGCGTACATACAAAATACAACTGAGTGCCGGTCAATAGTTTCATCAGGATATGAGTTGATAATATGATTATGTCGTCGTGTAAATGAGACGTGAGCTGAAAAGCTGTGAAGCATTGGACACGGCCTGATTGTGTCTCATCAGTACAATGCGCGAATCCATTGACCCAACTAGGAATCGAACGTGGGACGTCATTCGAAGACCGGAAACATACTACCCACTCGACCATCTCTTGGCAGCTGACCAGTTCGTTTTGCATTCCCCGACAAAGCACAATCTATCTTTAAGAGCTTATTGTGCGCCTCGCGCTTTGTTCATCTCAGCACTAGTGTAGCAATAATCAATTTTGTAGTAAATCAGTACATTTTGTTGATAGTTTTTATGGGTAATCTAGCTGAATCAATATGCGTTCCTATGGACTGTACGTCTATCTCATTCGTTTGTTTAACATTGAATATAACTTCTAACATGGTTAGACAGTTGAACATTCTGAAAAGTGTACCGAAAATTTTTGTTATTCCCGAACCGTGCAAATCTATTTCCCAGTTCGTTTAACACGGATTGTAACTGATTGCCAGTAATTTACACTATTTACTAATGAGATTGTACTAAGTAGAAAATAATTCAAGTACCGAACTGCCTGAGTTCTCACTTGGATCAGCATATTGAAGGTGAACCGCGGTTTAACATAATCCATAGACTATCCTTATTGGCCATGTGGAAAACGCTACTGGTGAAGAAATTACAAGAGATCCACAAACACTGTAGTGGAAGATAAAGTTTGGCATAAAGTCCATTCACTCTTATGTATCTATATGCATGTGTAATATCGGAACCTGAAATATATATTTCCAAAATAAGAGTCACGTTGCACGAGTTCTATTTATACCTGTGTATGCAGCATAAACACTTAGTTCCGAAAACATTATCGAGAAAAGTTTCATTCCTAGTTGAAAAAAATAATCAACTGAATTACTGAATGATGTTTACAATCTAGGTTAATTCTATCGGGTGTGTCCTCGTCCGATCACTGATGAACCTAGTTTGGTCAAATGTGGAGCCTAATTGGACGGTGCTCGCAGATTGGTTGAATATAAAGATTTCCTCCTGCGAACGGAAGAAATAGTAAATGAGTTCATAAGGAAGGAGATTGCAGAGAGAGAGAGTTTAACTTGCTCGTTCGACAGTGACGGCAGTTTAAAATTATGCAAATAGCATGAAATTCTACTAGAAGAAATATTTTACCGGTTTTTCTAATTACTGGCACTTCGATGGTTGAACCAATCTTCAAAAGCGATGGTATGCAGTGAACTGGTTTAAAAATCGAGGACACCTCAAGGTGCTGCTCTCAAATCATCTGAAGGATGATGACAGCTCATGCTTGCGATTTGAAACAACCAGCAGTTACGCGTTAAGTGATTCAAATCTCTAGTTTAGCCATAATGATGAGTCAAGGGGGTCAAGCATGACTTCCTGGTCTATTTCTAAATGAATTTCTTCACTGAATGGTAGTTGAAATGATGTGTACAAACATGTTACGATCAGTTAAGGTTTCTCTCAGGTGTTCCAACTTCATAGTCATTGCTTCGCATCAGGTCACACACATGTGCACAATAAGATGGAAGATATTTCTCTCAATCAGTTCCCCATATAGAAACATGATAAGCGTGACTTTGTGTATGAGTTCGACGATTAGTCACTGCAAATTAGGTTGTTTGTTATAGTTCTTATTCACTTTTCTTGGAAAACCGAAATTTGGAATATCAAACCCTGGGGATACAAATTTTGGTGCCCAACAATTTCTTGAAACAATTTCACGAAACAACTAACGCTCCCCATCTATATTGTTCCCGACTGATGAGGGAATCGCCAAACCTTGATAGGCTGGAATTAACGTAAAGAAATTGTTAGTGTTTAACTAGCAAATGTTTTAAATGACTAACATGCATCAATAAAGCGCGTGAGGTTGAGGGATCATAAATTGCACTGTTGTACACCCCGTGACAAACTCAACCATCATGGAATTAATTATCGTAACAACTGCAATGATTTAAAGGTATAAGTCGATTGTTTCACTCCATCCGGGGATACGATATGCGAGCACTCGGCACCATTATGAGTTGTCCTTTGTGCAGTCTTCACACCGACGGCTGCGAAAAGTCAGCGTCCGTTTGTTCCAGCAGACAGATGAAGTGGACAAACATTTTGTAGTGAACCGCCTAGCGGCCGATTGGGGTATACAACGCTTATTTCAATAATGTATAATGAACTAATATTCACACAGTTATTTTATTTGAAAAGAGTTCATACTTAGCGCTGTAGCTACGGTTACAGGATCCTCTGTACCAGCGATGAGAACATTGGTGTGATATGCGAACGCTTGAAGACTGAATTTCTTTTCCGGCTTGTCGTGTTTTGATTGCACATGTAAAGTGACTGTCCTTCTGGTCTTCCACCGCTGCCCGACGACAAAACCATACAGTGATTTTCGGGCGCTGAGAAATAGTCGAAACCGGTCAAAAGAATACACGTTTCTGTTGACAAATTTCGAAAACCGCGATTGTTTTCCTTTTTGCGAGCAATCAGATAACCCTAATAGGAATACTCCAATCTTTACGCAAAAATATTGGAAAAAACATCTAGTGTGTCGTGAAAAGTGATGACATCTCCTGGGCTTTAATTGTTTCAAAAATTATATTTCAAAACACCTACATGAGATTACGGGATGGTCTGAATTTCATCAAATAATACGACGATCTCTTCAGATTAAGAAGGTTGGAATATTTCTTTTGGGGGACAGAAGTTGAACAGCATACAGATCGCATTATTGTTTTGATACCTTTATAGGGTAAGAGCATTTAGACTGAATGCTTATTAAAAATATTACATTGTCTTGCTGGTTTCTTATGACCGGTTAACGCCAGTACTGGTTCAGTCAGTGTGTCTACGATCCAGAATCTGGCTTCCATTCCCAGTAGTGTTGCTAGGTTACCTGCTTAAACATGTGCCTTCAATGAAGTAGAGGGCGTTTATCTTGAAGACGCTTGCCGAAGTTCTGTTCAAATGTAACCGGTCATACCAATTGTTTTGCGAT